TCCGGGTATGCCCTCGCGGGGCCCTAATCCTGGGTGAGGGGGGATGAGGCGGCTGATCCCGTGTCAAGCAGGCAGCGTGGGCCGCAGCCCTGGAGCAGGGATCTGCCCCCAGCTGGGAGTGGGGCAGAGGGGCTAAGCGCGTCCGTCGCCTGAGGTGAGCGCGTGTCCCCGGGGGACCCTCCCGGGGGGGCCGCTCGCCCGGGGGGGCTGCTCGGTGGAGCTGAGCGTTGGCTGCATTTTGCAAGGCTCTGGGATACTGCATGCGAGGGTGCAGGTGTTTTGGGGGGAATCTTGTCACAGGTGGCTCGGGCAGTTGGATTTAAGTCAGGGTGCCTTTATAAGCGTGTTCAAAGCCCAGCTTTGGTGCACTTAGACCCTGAGCCCTGCTGTGTTTGGCTGTTGCATCTCAAAGAAGGTAGAGTGCAGCAGCATCTCCCTCTTTAGCTGTGGCCTGGGAGTAAAGCAAGGCTTTGGCCATCTGCTAGGACAGAGCGGGACAGAGCTGGTGCCCCAGCGGCTGGAGGAGGTGCTGTGCTGGCCAAAGCCGAGGTGCTGTCTGCCTGAGTGCTAAACACGTTACAGCCCTCGCAGGACAGCCGGGGCGTCAGCGTGCACAGCCTGGCCTGATCTGGGGCTACACGCTCGTGTCCGTGGCCTGGGTCGGCCACCGCCTTGCACCCTGGCCCAGAGACAGTTGCGTGCCCGGGGGCTGAGGCCAGGGGAGCACACCGAGGAAGAGGTGCACACAGGTCAGGGTGGAGGAGCTAAACAGCTTGCGTGTTGGCTTCAATTGCGCACTGCAACAGCAGCATTGCTTCCAGCATTGCTCGGGTTTCAGGCTTGCTCTCAGCCGCACCGCAAGATGTCCCTTGAGTTTATGTACCCAAGGAAGCATTTCTGGGTGAGGGACATTGCATCGATCTTTCCCCTGGCCCTAAAAGGTGGGCTGGGGTGAGCCGGACTCCTGGTGGGGCCACGTCCCTCGCAGGCGCTGCCCGGGCGCCGCTCTCGCAGGTTGTCTCGTGCGTGGGAGGACGTGGGGCTCTGAGCTGGCCGGGGTTAGAAATAACCCTGCTGGGACAGAGGTTTAAAAAGGAGAGGTAAGGCGTGATTAGGGGCGCGTGCCTACGCGTGTGCATGCCGGGGGGGCCGTGGGGACGGTGCGGCGGGCGATGGGTTGCGGTACCTGTGTTGCGCTGCGTACCGGCACCGTGGGAGACGCTTCCAGGCTTATCCGACAGCACCTGCGGGACCGACAGGAGCATCTGGTCCGGAGGGGCTGCCCCCGCCCCCCGGCGGCCAGGGCGCCCCAGGCGCGGCA